GTATTTTTTTCCGTCAACAACTCTCGCACGCTTGTAGCTGAAAGCTTTTAAGGTTCATTTTTGACATTAAACATTAAAAATGTGCTGTGTTGTCTTTTACACACATTTTGTAGTGCACACTTAGTGCACATCAATTATTTCAATTTTAAAAAGTTTTCATTGAATTTGATTTGAGTTGAGTAAATGCAAATTTGAGGATTTTTGCATTAGTAAAATCTGTCCACAGAAAGACTGGAAAAGCATGTTAGTCATAATGCAATGTGATCGCATCCATCGCTACTGTCCGGTAACCTGGTAACTCTCATGTATATGCACGCTTTAACCCACACAGTTTCTTTTAACACCAGCTTTGATATCCTGGCTTTACAGCTCCAATTGTTGGATAGATGTCGGAGTGGAAAGTGAGAGTCCATAACTAAAGGTTCAAGTTAGTGACCTCTGACCTTGCTCTTAGAGAACGGTCTCCTTTACGCTGGTGTAAAAGTTGCATTGCATGTGGACCATTATGTCCTATAGCTCCACAAATTTAGCATGGAATACCAATGACTATTGAACCAAACTAAAGCCTTGTTGTGAAGTGTTGTGAGTGAATAAAGCCACTTTGGTCACAAGAGAAGGCTAATCTGGGAATAAAAGATGGTAAATATGTTGTACACAGCATCGCATAATGAAAGGTTCACTCCCAAAGCATTGACAATGATTATAAGTCACAATAAAATAATTCAATGCAATTCAGCACAACATAAATGATTATACATTTTTGCATCCAAATCCAATAATCAGTCTACCGATAGCCATCATTCATTGACTGTTTTTACATGCACTTCAAACTAAAAAAAAAAAAAAACTCACGTGAGTGAACATTAATGTACTCCTGTGAAAGTCGGTGGGTTAAACAACATAAATTACATTTCTCCTTTCTCTCTCTTGATTGAATCTCTTAATCAGTTGACTCTTGGAGAGAGCCACGACAAATTGCGCCGTGTGGATTCAAACAGGAAGTCAAGGAGTTTCAACAAGCAGCCCAGCACTGGGGACTACTACAAAACCCTGGGGAGCGACACGGCCGAGCCTTGTGGGAGCAAAATCATGGCACCCAACGAGGAGGTGAGCCCGAGCTCTGCCGTTTATGCAAACTATACATGGTTAAAAATTATAATAATATGTCTGCCTCTATATATGTTTGTTGTATTATAGGTTGTTATTTTAATGTATGTACTTGTCTATATGTTTCTGGAAATGTGTGTGAAAAATGCTTTTTTGCCCTGGTATGTTTGCTTTTATTTCTTTATGTGACATACCTTTTTTAACACAAGGCAGCTTAATATTGTGTGTATTATACAAAAATATAAAATAAATATTACTTTGTTATAATTCAGTTATCTCAAAATTTTGGGTGACATTGAAAGTCAGTACATGAGCTGGAAGTCTGATGGATGTAAGGTTAGTAGTTGGTTGACATAGTGTGCCCTGGTTCTTCCATGAAGGCTCCTTTTCTCCTTTTTCCTTTCTTAACTCCTTATAAGGTCATTCCAGTCTGAGGTTTAGCTTGCTGACGATGGCATTCGGTTACAAAACTGGCTGCACTATTTGCCTAAGCATTGCCACTCAGCATGTTATATAATGTTGCGTCCTCTTGAACTTTTGTTTGCCACCTGATCCAAATTATCCCCTTATTTCCATTGCCTCTTGAGTCTCCACCCCATTGTGTAAACTGTCCAAGAGGCTACAGTAGATCAAACTCAGTATGATCGCTGACAACAAAGCACTTAGCAAGAAATCACCAACGAAAGGGACACAAAAAGGAGAATCCCACTGAAGCTGAACGTATTTGTTAGATAAGTGGCCAGCTTGTATGTGTTAGGCTGTAATAAAATCCCCCACATGTACATCAGACTGCAATGTAAACATTTTGATAATGCTTTTTTATTGACTTAGGCACTATTTATTAGCCTACTCGGTCACCATTGACATAATGCGCTTACACAACAGAATTTCCCCAGAAAGGACAAAAGGTTAGTCCAAAATTACGTGCCATTGTAGGTGCCCTGAAAAGTTGATCAAGGAAAATTTCTGTTCGCGTTTGCATGTCAATCCCATTATTAAATATAAACTGTGTGCTTGTTGCCACATACCTTCACAGGCAGCTGAATGAATAGAATCTGGCAGACTTTCACCAACATCCCTAGAGAAGTGTTCTTATAATCTCATGGGTATCAGGGGTGGGGGTGTTTTGGATGACATGGGTTATAATCCTCATTGAGCCAATTAAGGCCTCAGCGGGGCCCCTCCTGGTCTCAGCACAACCCTAGCAGATGGGCTGGCTAATCAGCAGAAGCGGCACGTGCTGCCAAGACCCATCTGGACATGGCCAACCCCCTTCCAGCTCTCTGGGGGGTTTGAAAAGTAAAGGCGGCAACAATGACAAGCATGCGTCTGAGGAATAATGGAGCGGTGGAGTCGAGTTAAATGTCATGGTCTATTAATTTGTCTCCACAGGAGGTGCGGCACACTTTCAGAGTGTGTCAGACGTATGCACTGGGCGGGGCGGGGCAGTGACAGATGGCTGTTTTCCCCTCAGACCTTTCCCCCTTGAGATTATGTCATATTAGCTGTTATTAGCAAAGGGCATTGTGTTGTTATGAGTTAATGAAAGACAGGAGGAAGCTGAAGTATCGTGCCACTTTACATTTGCGCCTGTCAAGCCTCAGCGCAGGAATCTCAAGCTCTCTCAGATATTATTTTAGATAAATGTCGTGGCATCTTTTTTTCACCAGTGAATTTTTTTTAAAATTTCCAACACTGAAAAAAAACCCTTTTTTTGTAAGGCACAAAGAAACTCTCAAGAGTAAAAAAAATTTAATTTGTGCAGCAAAAATAAGTGTTATTTTAATTCTTTCAGGATAAAGCAGTGTTTCCAGTTAACAGCAATGTAGTTTTTAAAACAAAACCTCAGAATACAGAATGAGTGACATTTTTTTTACTCTCCCTTTTGTTGGTTCAGGGTTCTGTGTTATTGGAGGAGCCAAATGAAAATCCCGCCCAAAGCTCTGAAAATGGGACTACAGAGGAATCTGTTCCTCAACCACCACCTCCTCCACCACCACCTCTCCCCCCAAGCAATCCAATGCCAACACCCCCGCCACCTCCTCCTCTGCCTCCGGAGACACAAACCCCTCAGAATAATGCCAACGTCACGCCCACCAATCAACGACGCCCATCTTCGTCGTCAGGAAGTAAGTCAACCAAACCTGCTTTTTTCCCTAATCTCAATACTTTTTTCCCCATCTTTGTTTTCTGCTATATTAGTCCTAGAAAGCAGAGACTGGTGTATTAATGGGTACCAAGTAATCACCCTGGGTAATGATGAGTTGAGTCTGACCCTAGCATTCTAAATAAGAGATTATAAATTAATGATGTAGCGCTAGCATTACCCTGAGAACTGGTTTAGTGTTCAGCCATTTCCTTAAGTGCCCTGGACGCACTGGATGATGCAGTCTGACGGTGCACATGCCGCTCGAGTTGCAGGGAAATTTTAACTTATCTATAAGGCTGTTTTTTAAGTGCTAAAAATGTGGAATTTTAAAATACATACGTGTTTTAAGATTTGAAACAAAATATCTATCTTGTTCTAACGTTGATTAATGCATTTCCTTTTTCTAGAAACTCATTAATATACAAGGAAATTCAGTGAAAGTGAAGTTCCTAAATTTGATTATGACAAATCCAGTTCTTGGAGCTGACATCTGCCATTCTTTGCATACATGTCTACATACATAACTTCCTGCTTATGCTATTGGTCAGTATACTACAAAAGCAAACTGGAAACTGAGCAAAAATACCAAAAATCTTTGCTTAAAGAATCTTGTTAATGATAGGCAGATATCAGTTTTACCTGATAAAGATATTACATGAAGAGTGACAATATACAAAATACTCTTTTCTCTTGTAATTCTAAATACATTGATGTCGCCTGGTTAAAAACTGTCACTTTCAATTCAGCATTGCTTTTCTGCTTTATAGGTTTCTGTTTACATGTTCTTTATCTCTCCTGTTTGCTCTCCATGCACTTCTCTCTGTTTTGTTTCTTTTGTTTTTTCCCTCTTCTTGCCTGCCACCATGTGCTCTGTCAAGGCGGAGATAACTCTGCCTCACAGGCAGAGGGAGGAGCACTTAGACAGATGAAGAGTAAGTAGAGACTGCGCATCAATTGCATTTAAGCTAAATCACTTCATCCTGTTTAGATACATTCAGAGTTCACAGTTGTCCTTCCCACTTACATGCCATTTTATAACATTTGTATAAATTCTAGAGCATTTTAACCTGTCCATAGCATTTTATGTAAATAACTTTATATGAGATGTTGTTTCAAACCATGAGTATCCAATTTATCAAAGCAGCTGTTCTATCACCCTTTGAAAACTGAACTGAAGGAAATTTACTTTTAAGTACAATGTGACCGTGATTGCTGTTAACAAAGGCAATGTTTGAATGATTACCTAAATTTTTTTTATGTATTTTTACCCAATGCCGCATGGTTTTCCTGTCAATACAGTGAG